AGGGGCGGAGGGGGGAGTCGGGGCCGCGGGGCCAGGTTGAGGAGAAGGAGGTCGAGGCCGAGAGGGGTGGTCGTGGAAGGAAGGGCCAGCCTGGGGCAGTCTTGGGGGAGTGGCTGAGGCTGTCCGACCTGAAGTTGGAGTGAGACTCCTGGAGGGTGGGGGCAGGAGGCCATGGAGACGTTTTGCCTGTATAGCTTTTCTTGCAGAGAATACAAAGGTCTTTCACTGATTCCCCCCGTCCCCCGTTTTTTTGGGGGAGATGAGATGATCTCACTATGTAGCCCTGGGTGACTTGGAATTCGGCTGTATAGACCAGGTTGGCCTTCAGCGCAAAGAGATGCCTCTGTCTCCCCACTGATGGGATTAGAGGCGGTTGCTACCATACCCAGCCATACTTTTAAAAATACTTTATTTTTAGATACTAATTTTATGTGTATGAGTGTTTTGCCTACATGTATGTAAGTGCACCCTTGTCGAGCAATGCCCGCAGTGGTCAGAAGAGGGCGTTGGAGCCCTTGGAACTGGAGTTTAGAGATGGTGGTTAGCCAGTGCGTGCTGGGACCTGAACCCAGGTGCTCTGCAACAGCCGTGGTTTTAACTGATGAGCCATCTCTTCAGTCCCTACAGCCATACTTTTTTTTTTTTTTCTGGTCTTTTTGAGACAGGGTCTCCCTGTAGCCACAGCTGGCAGGCTGGCCTTGAACTCACAGAGATCTGCCTGCCTATGCCTCCCGAGTGCTGGGACACCTGGTCCCAGCCATACTTTTTAAATGTATTTTGAGACAGGGCATCACTATGTAGCCCAGGCTGGCCTTAAACTCATGATCCCTCCTGTCCCAGCTTCCTGAGTGCTGGGTTTATGTTTATGCCTATACTCAGCTTGGAATATCTTTTCAAAGCCCAGCTCAGGCTCTATACTTTGTTTTTGGTTTCTTGAGGCAGGGTCTCCCTGTATCCTCAGCTGGCCTGGAACTTGCTATGTAGACCAGGCTGGCCTTGATCTCACAAGAGATCTGCTTGCCTTTTGCTCCAAGGGCTGGGATTAAAGGCACAGGTCAACACCCTGGCAGTTTTTTTTGGGGGGTGGGGTGGGATGAGAGTCCTATGGGACTGGCCACTCCTCCACTCCCTCCCCACCCCTCTCTGTGTCCTCCCCCACCCCCTATCTAAGAGTAAGGCCTGTAGTTGCTTGTTGTTAAATGCTGCTCCCCTGATGCAAAGGGAAAGATGCAACCTGCTAAAACAGACTTTTTTTTTGTCTTTTTTCCCAGCTGGCCTAGAACTAGCTATGTAGACCAGGCTGGCCTTGAACTCACAGAGATTACCTGCCTCTGCCTCCTGAGTGGTGGGATTAAAGGCTTGCACCACCACACCTGACTGATGATGTAATAATTTAGGAAGTTTGTGTAGAGTGAGAGAAAAGAGGATCTAGGTTGAAATTCTGAAGATTTGGCCTAGGGAAAAGGCTAAAGGCCCTCATGCTCATTCCCCAGACTGGCCTTGAACTCTTGGCAACACTCTTCTCCAAATCTCCCCTAGTGCCTTAGCCACCATGCCTGGTTGGTCTTGTATCTTTCTTTTTTTTGAGGCAGGGTCTCCCTGTAGCCCCAGCTGGTGTGAACTCATCACTGTGTAGACCAGGCTGGCCTTGAATTCAGAGATCCACCTGCCTCTGCCACCTGAGTGCTGGGACTAAAGGTGTGAGCCACCACGCCCAGCCTTGGTCTTGTTTCTTATAGATAATGAGCCATTTAGAAGTCTTTGTCTCTGTATCTTCAGTCCCTAAGATGTGGAATAGCTTCTGGTAGGCATTTAATAAATGTTTGTTGATTAAAGGCCGGAGGGATGGCTTGTGATTTAGGAGCACATACTGCTCTTGTAGAGGACTCAAGTTCAGCTTCCACCACCCACATTAGGTAGCTTATAACTGCTGTAACTGCAACTCCAGGGGATCTAACACCCTTTTCTGGCTTCACCTGGAGCCATACACAGTTAAAGAATAGACACACACACGCGTGTATGTGTGTTTTGCCTGCATGTATGTGGTGCATCTATGTGTGCAGTTGCCCATGGAGGCCAGATCCCCTGGAATTGGAGTTATGGGTGGTTGTTGGCTGCAAGGTGGATACTGGGAATCAAATTGGGTCCTCTTCAAGAACAGCCAGGGCTTTTTTTTTTTTTTTTAAACAGGGTCTCCCTGTAGCCCCAGCTGGCCTGGAACTCACTGTGTAGACCAGGCTGGCCCTGAACTCACAGAGATCCACCTGCCTCTGCCTCCGAAGTGCTGGGACTACAGGCCTGTGCCACCATGCCCGGCCAGCCAGTGCTTTTAACCACTGAGCCATCTTGCCAGCCTCATAAAAAATAAAATCTTTTTAAACTAAAAAAAAAATTTTTGCTGGGTGTGGTGGTGCACACCTTTAATCCTAGCACTTGGGAGGCAGAGGCAGGCGGGTCTCTGAGTTCAGGGCCAGCCTGGTCTACATAGTGAGTTCAGGCCAGCTGGGGCTGCAGGGAGACCCTGTCTCAAAAAGACCAAAAAAAAAGAAAAAAAAACCCTCGCGTGTGTGTGCGAGAGAGAGAGAGAGAGAGAGAGAGAGAGAGAGAGAGAGAGAGAAGCAGGGTCTTCTCTGTACCCCTGGTTGACTTCAAGCTCTAATCTGATTTCAGTCTCCCAAGTCCTGGACCTTTACAGGCATCGGTCGGTCACTGTGACCAGCTTTAGGTTGAAAACTTTTTTAAAGGGAAGCTTGTGTGAGGAAAAGACAGGGTTATTGATAAAGGAGAAATATAATAGCTAAGAGCTCAGTATAGGGACTGGAGAGATGGCTCAGCTGTTAAGAGCACTGACTGCTCTTGCAGAGGACCCAGGTTTGAGTCCCAGTACCCACATGGTGGCTACAAACCATCCTTAACTCCAGTTCCAAGGGAATCCGAAGCGCTCTTCTGACCTCCGCGGCATTGCACGACATGGGTGCACTCACATACATGCAGGCAATACACTTGTACACATAAAATAAAAATAATAAAATATTTTTTTAAAAAAGAGTTCAGTATATTAAAAGTATTAAATAAAATAGCCAAAAGAAGTTGAAGATTGAGTAAAGTCACTACTAGTGATGGTGGTTCTAGAAGAGACCAGGTAGACTTAAGGACAGCTTTAGCTGCCATGTGGTTACTGGGAACCAAATCCAGGTCCTCTGTAAGAGCAGCCAGTGCTCCTAACTACTGAACCACCTCTCCAGTTCTCTCCTTTTTTAGAAAAAGGTTTGTTTATGTGTAAGAATGTTTTGCCTGCATTATATGTAGTGCCTGTGGAGGCCAGAAGAGGTCAGATATCCTGGAACTGCCATAGAGGTGGTGAACTGCCATGTGGATGCTGGGAATTGAACCTGGGTCCTCTGCGGGAGTAATAAGTGCTCTTAAACCCCTAAGCGTTCTCTCCAGTCCTTGCTCTTACTGCCCTCTAAGGTACTATGATTGCGTTGGGAGGCCTAATGTAGCTTTTTGTATATTAGATTTGGAGTCAGAAGAGTTGACTTCCAGACCAGTCTTAGCTGTGTGAGCTTAGGTAGGTACTTTGTTTCCCTGAGTCAATTTAATTCATTGTATGTTTATTGAGCCCCATAATGTACATAGCATATAGTCTTTGCCTTCAGTTTTGTACCAGTCTTATGGTATAAATGAATATGTAAATATTTAAAATATAAAGCTGAGGCTGGAGAGATGGCTCAGCGGTTAAGAGTACTGACTGCTTTTGCAGAGGACCTGGGTTCAATTCCCAGCAACCACATGGCAGCTACAAACCATCCTTAACTCCAGTTCCAGGGGCATCTGAAGCCCTCTTCTGCCTCTTCTGACCTCCATGGCATTGCACGACACGGGTGCACTCATACATGCAGGCAATACATTCATACACATAAAATAAAAATAATAAAATATTTAAAATACAAAGCAAGATGAAGTGCCATATACAAATTTCTTTTTTTTTTTTTTTTGAGACAGGGTCTCCCCGTAGCCCCAGCTGGCCTTGATCGCACTATGTAGACCAGCCTGGCCTTGAACTCACAGAGGTCCACCTGCCTCTGCCTCCCAAGTGCTGGGATTAAAGGCGTGTGCCACCACACCCAGCACAAATTTCTTTTTTTAATTATTTTTATTTTATGTGTGTGAGTGTTATGCCTGTATGTATATAAGTGCACCTGTGTCATGCAGTGCCCACAGAGGCCAGAAGGGGGTATCAGATCCCCTCGAACTGGAGTTATGGAAGGTTGTTAGCTGACGTGTGTGCAGGGATTCAAACCCTGGGTTTTTGCAAGAGCAGACAGTGCTCTTAAATGCTGAGCCATCTCTCCAGCCCCCACAAATTTCTTTTAGAGGAAAAGACGGTTCACTTTTTCCTTTTTTTTTTTTTTTTTGAGACCGGGTCTTACTATGTATCCTGTGTATCCTATAACTCCTTGTGTATACTAGGCTGGCCTTGATCTCAGAGAATCGCCTGCCTCTGCCTCTGCTTCCCAAGTGCTGGGCTTACAGGTGTGTGCCACCAAGATCATTTATTTTGATCTGTAAAAAGTTTAGGTGGACTTGCTCAGCACTTAGGAGGCAGAGGCAGATGGATTTCTCTGTGAGATTGTGGCCAGCCTGATCTACATAGGAAGTTCCAGGCTAGCTGGGACTATAGGGAGACCTTGTCTCAAAAAAAGAAAAAAAAAAAAATTAGACCCTGAGCTGGGCTTTTTAGCGTGCAGTTCAGAAAATATTCTAGGATAGGTATAGTAGTATATAAGTCTACAATCCCAGCTTTCAGGAAGCTGAAGCAGGGGGATTGTGAATTTGAGGACAGCCTGGGTTAGAAGGTGAAACACTGTCTCAAAAAAAATATTTAAACTGGGTGTGGTGGTGCACGCCTTTAATCCCAGCCCTCTGGAGGCAGAGGCAGGGGATCTCTGTGAGTTCAAGACCAGCCTGGACTACACAGTGAGTTCCAGGCCAGCTGGGGCTACAGGGAGACCCTGTCTCAAAAAGACCAAAAAAAAAAAAAAAAAAAATTAAAAAATTGGGGTTGTGTATGGTGGTGCATGCTTTTAATCCCAGCACTTGGAGGCAGATGTAGAGGCAGACAGCTATGTCTCTGAGAGTTCAAGGCCAGCCTGGTCTACATAGAGTTCCAGGCCAGCTGAGGCTACAGAGTGAGATCTTGTCTAAAAAAAAAAGAAATGTTTTTTGAGCAAGGAGTTATGTTATTAGAGCTCTGCATTAGGAAAATAACTCTGGTTGGTGACAGTGTAGTAGACAGTTTGAGTCAAAGGCACAGGAACTATTAGAAGGCTATTCCTGTAGTTATAAAGCAAGCAGCAATAGAGGTTTGTTTTTATCTATAAAATGAGTATACTACTCCTGTCTACCTATTGTATGATGCTGCTGTGATGATCCAGCAGGATGTGGGTGAATATGTTTTGACATCATAAAGAATCGCAGTGTGTAAGAAGCAAACTGACATACAATTCTAAATAGTAGTGGTTAATTTCTTTTATGGGAAAGGAATTCCTTGGAGGTGCCTTGAGATGAGTTACCTCACTGCCTGCTGGTTTTGAATGACTCCCTGCTATCTAAGCATTTAGATGCATTTCAAGGGGAGAAAAGGCAGGACTTACCTTTAAAAGCTGGCCTGCCAGGTCTGCCTCCCCCACCCCTCCTTTGGAATTGCTCTTCTTTAAGGTGGGGAAAGAATCTTGGAAACTAGAAATGAGCCATAGTTTTTCCTGGGAGTTTGCTGGGTTCTGGGAGTGTGTGTTTTACTGTCACTAAAGCTTCCTCTCTTCTTTAGGGGATGTTGGGAATTACTATTATGGACAAGGCCACCCAATGAAGCCTCACCGAATTCGAATGACTCACAACTTGCTGCTCAACTATGGTCTCTACCGAAAAATGGAAATCTATGTGAGTTACTGGAGTGCTGCCCCTGCTGCCCCATCAGTTCTGGTTCCACATACTCTATTGCACTTTCTCAACTGCTCATTGACTCCCTGACTGTCTTTTGGCAGGTGGAGATTCTATTTTTTAAGTTTAGTGTTGAGAACCACATGTAAACAAAGTATATTACAGTGCCCACGTGTATAACAATGAAGGAGTGCACAGGACAGAGAGCTGAGGAGTAAGGAAAGGGCAGCAGTGGAAAGTTTCCTAGAGGTAATGACTAGGCAGGATTTAAAGATTGAATGCAGGACTTGGGGATTGAGCTCAGTGGTAGAGCCAAGCACAAGGCTCTGAGGCCCTGGGTTTGGTCCTGAGCTGGGGGTGGGGGGGCATGGTGGTGCACACCTTTAATCCCAGCACTTGGGAGGCAGAGATAGGCGATCTCTGTGAGTTCAGGGCCAGCCTGGTCTACATAGTTCCAGGCCCTGTCTCAAAAACAAACAAACAAACAAAACGAATGGTCAGAAAATGGGTCAGGGGCTCTTGGTCTACATAGTGAGTTCCAGGACAGCTGGGGCTATAGGGAGACCCTGTCTCCAAAAAAAAAAAAAAAAAAAAAAAAAAATTGAATGGAGAGCCAAGCATTGTAATAGAAGCCTGTAATCCTAGCAGGTGGGAAGTGGAGGTAGGATGATTGGGAATGGAAGGCCATTCTCAGCAACATAGTTCAAAGCCAGCTTGGCCACATGATATCCTGGAGTTCAGAAAGGGACTGGTGTTCCAGGTCAAGGCTTCAACACCGGCACAAAGGCAGAAGTGAAAAATCATGTGGTGTTGGAGAGAATTAAGTCATTCAGTGAGCAAGTTCACCGTCAGCTGAGCATAGTGACACATACTTGTAATATCAGCACTTGGGATGTTGAGGCAGGTGGATCGCTGTGCTTTCAGGCTGTCCTGGGCTACATAAAGGGTTCCAGGCAAACCTGGACTAGAGTGTTTAAAACCTTGTCTCAAAAAAACAAAAAGGGAAAAAAGAGAAAGAGTATAGACTTTTTGGACACAAGGTCTTGTGTATCTCAGATGTGCCTCCAACTAGCTGTATAGCTTTGACCTTGGAACTTACCCCTTTGGCTCGCCCTTGAATGCTGGAATTGCAAGTTTACTGATTTTTGTCAGAGTTTCCCATTTTTAAAGAAAAATGGGAAATTCATATTATATAATATCTTTGAGGCTTAAATTGTTGGCCCAAGGTCTTTAAGGTTTTTCTGCCTTTGGTTTTTGGTGGTGCTGGGAAGAAACTCAGAGCCTCACACATGCTAGGAGAGAGCTCTACCTTGAACTATAATTTCCAGATTTGTTTTTATTTTTTAATGCATATATAAGCAAAATGTACCAGTATATCTGTGGACTAAGTTTGGTCCAGTGGTTCTTAGTTTAACCTCCTCTAGAGGTGAGTAACAAAAATGGAGGGTTTTTGTTTTCTTTTGCTTTTTGTGTTCTTTTTGTTTTTGTTTTGATTTTTTTTTGGTCTTTTTGAGACAGGGTCTCCCTGTAGCCCCAGCTGTCCTGGAACTCATTATATAGACCAGGCTGGCCTTGAAGTCACAGAGATCTGCCTGCCTCTGCCTCCTGAGTGCTGGGACTAAAGGCATGCGCCACCACGCATGGCTTGTTTTGATGTTTTGAGATTGGATCTTGCTGTGCAGTAGCCCATACTGACCTCAGGCTGTGGCAGTCTTGCTACTGTCCTAGCTTCCCAGTTGCTCAGATTATAGGTACTTACTTTCATGCCTGGCTTATTTATTTATTTTATTTTATTTTATTTTATTTATTTGTGATAGGGTCTCTTATATCCCAAGCTGGCTTCCAACTTAGTGTGTAGTGGAAGATGATATTGAACTGGTTCTCTTGCCTCTACCTCCCAAATACTAAGATTATAGGTATGTACCACTATGTCCAGTTTATATAGTACTGGGGATTAAACCCAGGGCTTCCTCTATAGGAGGCAAGCATTGAATCAACTGAACTGTAGCCCCAGCCCTTTTATTCTTTTTTGTTTGTTTGTTTTTTTGTTTTATTGAGGCAGGGTCTCCAGTAGTCCCAGCTGGCCTGGAACTTGCTATGTAGACCAAGTTGGCCTTGAACTCACAGAGACCCCCGCCTGCCTCTGCCTCTTTTATTTATTTATTTTTTTGGTCTTTTTGAGACAGGGTTTCCCTATAGCCCCAGCTGGCCTGGAACTCAGTGTGAAGACCACACTGGCCTCCAACTCACAGAGATCCGCATGCCTCTGCCACCTGAGTGCTGGGATTAAAGGCGTGCACCACCACAACCGGCTCTTTTATTTTATTTTAAAGTGAAGAGTTGAACCCAGGGCCTTGTACATGCTAGGCCAGTGCTCTACCACTGAGCTATATTCCCAGCTTTTCAAGCGTGCATTTTAGACATGGCAAGAGCAGGATGGGCAAGATGGCTCAGTGGGTAAAGGCACTTGCCATCACCAAGGCTAAAGACCTGAGCTTCATCTCTGGGACCTACATAATGGAAGGAGTGAACAAAGTCTGGAAAGTTGTCTTCTGACCTCCACACTCGTCCTGTTGTGCACACACACAGAAAGTAGATACATGAATAAAATGTAGTTAAAAAAATAGGGGCCAAGCTGGGCGTGGTGGCTCACGCCTTTAATCCTAGCACTCAAGAGGCAGAGGCAGGCAGATCTCTGTGAGTTCAAGCCCAGCCTGGTCTAAATAGTGAGTTCCAGGACAGATGGGGCTACAGGGAGACCCTGTCTCAAAAAGACCAAAAAAAAAAAAAGTAGGGGCTGAAGGGCTGGAGAAATGGCTCAGCGTTTAAGAACACTAGTTGTTCTTGCAGAAGACCCAGGTTCGAATCCCAGCGCCCACATGTCAGCTAACAACTGCCCATAACTCCAGTCCCAAGGAATCTGACAACCTCTTTTGACTTCCGTGGGCCTTGTGGCACATGGGTGCACTTACCTACACGCAGGCAATACACGCATACACATAAAATAAAAATAATAAGCCAGGCGTGGTGGCGCATGCCTGTAGTCCCAGCACTTGGGGGGCAGAGGCAAGTGGATCTCTGTGCGTTCAATGCCAGCCTGGTCTACATAGTGAGTTCCAGGCCAGCTGGGGTTACAGGGAGACCCTATCTCAAAAAAACAAAAAAATTAAAAATTAAAAAAAAAAAATAGGGGCTGGAGAGATGGCTCAGCAGCTAAGAGCACTGACTGCTCTTGCAGAGGACCCGGGTTCGATTCCCAGCACCCACATGGCAGCTACGAACTGTCCTTAACTCCAGTTCCAGGGGAATCTGAAGCCCTCTTCTGACCTCCGTGGCATTGCACGACACGGGTGCACTCACATACATGCAGGCAATACACTCATACACATAAAATAAAAATAAGAAAATATTAAAAAATAAATAAAATAGCCAGGCGTGGTGGCGCACGCCTGTAGTCCCAGCACTTGGGAGGCAGAGGCAGGCGGATCCTTGTGAGTCAAGGCCAGCCTGGTCTACATAGTGAGTTCCAGGCCACCTGAGGCTACAGGGAGACCCTGTCTCAAAAAGACCAAAAAATAAATAAATAAATAAAAATAAATAAAGCCAGCAATAGAAATGGCAGTGCTTGTTGTGAGATTATTGCAGAAGTTCAAATGACAAGGGCTCTGGACATGTCACCTCATGGCATAAAAGTGTGCTATTAACACTGCATTCACGGCTTCAGTGACCTAACAACAGCAGCATCCTCACCATTTCGGTCTGAAAGGGATGAGTCTTCTCTTCCAGATGGCTATGTTGTGTCTTCAGAGCTGGTGTAGACACCTAGAGAAGCAAGGAGGGAAACTGACAGACCTAGGCACATAGAGCTTTCTTTCTTTTCTTTTTTTTTTTTAATTTTATGTGTACATGTGTATTGCCTGCATATTAGGTGAGTGCACCTGTGTCATGCGATGCCCGTGGAGGACAGAAGAGGCTGTCGGATCCCCTAAAATTGGAGTTATGCACAGTTGTTAGCTGCCATGTGGGTGCTGGGATTCGAACCTGGGTCTTCTGCAAGAACAGTCAGTGTTCTTAACCCCTGAGCCATCTCTTCCAGCCCCAAGCTTTCTATTTTTTTATGTGATGGTTACCTGGGAATAAATATGTTTTCAGGGATCAAGCTTCCTTGCTTTTTGTTCTCTTTTGTTTGTTCGTCTGTCTGTATTTTTGGATACAGGGTCTCATGTATCCCAGCCTGGCCTGTAACTCACTATCCAGCATGGGATGACCTTGAACTTTGGATATCCTTTTGGCTCTACTTCGCAAGTGTTAAGATTGTAGGCGTGTGCATTGCACCCAATTTCTATGGTGCTGGGGATTGAACCCAGGGTACTGTGCATGCTAGGCAAGCTCTCTACCAACTGAGCTACATCCCAGCCCTTCCCTCCTTTTTATTACAGAGGAAAAACCCTTTCTAGAAGCTTTCCAGCAGAATTCCTTTTCTGTCTTTTGATCATTTGTCACCTTCCAGCCATTTTCTAGTTTAAATGGATAAGATTACCAGAACTGTATTTCGTGATTTGATCCCTAGGGCTGGGTGCATCAACACCTAACCAAATTGGGATCTGTTCCAAAGAAAGAGAAGAGAATGACTGGTTGGGAGGAACCAGCTATGACCGCCATAGGGAGAATATCTTACTGGAGATGTTGTCATCTGCATTTTTTTGTGGCGGGGGTGATGAGGGGACTTTTGAGACAGGGTCTGCCTGTAGCCCCAGCTGGCCTAGAATTCACTATGTAGACCTGGCTGGGCCTAGAACTCACAGAGATCTTCCTGCCTCTGTCCTCTGCCTCTGAGTGCTGGGGGTGCACCACCATGCCCACCTTTTTTTTTTTTTTTAAAAGATTTTAATTTTTTAATTATGTTGGAGTGTTTCTGTGTGTGGGGTATGTGCAAAAGAATGTGGGTGCCCTCATGGCCAGAAGAAGGTGTTGGATCCTCTGGAGCTCAGTTATAGTCA